CAGTTTTCAAGAAAAAAATTCTCAACCGAGTAAAACTTAAGAATTTCATAATTTCGAAAAGAATTCATAAAATTTCGATAGCAAAACTTTCTCGGCGAGACTTTTCATCAACACCGTTAGAAAGAGAACCTTTAAAAACAGGAAACAGTGATTTCTGAATTATTTTCCGTTCAAATTCATTAAGTAGTAATAATTCGAATTCGGCTCTTGAAAAACCGTCCTGTGGACTTTAATAGGTTAACTTCCGACTCATGTAACCTGTCATTTTAATGTTGCAAAACTGATAAAATAATTAACATTAATCAATAATATCTCGGTGAAAAAATATATTTAATCCAAAAAATGATTTTACCGGTTTTTGGAAAAAAAATTCAGTGTTACAGAACCTCGAATATAGCAAAGAATAAGGAGTTTCTCAATTTTAGTTTAGGATAACTCGAGACTTTTAGATGACGGATTAAATATGAAGCCAGGTTCTTATTCAGAGCATCAAATAACTACGGATGTATACTGTCGCGTTTGTGGGTTTTTTCGGATATTTAATCTATTCAATGTATTTAAAACTACTGCTGCTATTCATTGTTGTTATTATTCATAATTTATTATTTGTTAATGTGTTATTATATATCAAATTATATTTCCAACATACCGGACGGAGTTAAATAAAACTAACTGAACTTAACTCAATTCTCTCTTTCTTTTTTGATCTTCCCTTCATTCTATCCTTCTGCTATGCACGCATCATTATCTCGCTCGTATTATCTATTTCAGTTTTTTACAGATTCTTAAGTATCTACTACTCCATTAAGTATGTACTACTCTGTAACGAAATTACATCGTTATTAAATTTTAAATGTGGGCAAGTGAGGCGAACTCGCTTGTAGCAATCGAGGGGGGAGGGGGGGGGGGGGGGGTAAAGAAATACAATTTAAAAATCACACTTCAAGTACTATTAAACAATCATACCGATTTATTATTGCCAAACTTTACAAAAACCTTAAACTCTAATGAACAAAACTAATCAAACACGCCTTAATACTATTGAACATAACGGTGTTACTAACATGCCTTAAACCTTATTGAACATAACAGAATAACAAAGAATCGCAAGAAAAAATTAACTATAATTAACCACGTTTACAATAATCTCAACAATACATAGAACGTGTCCCCCGGCAGGTGACCGCCTTGACGACAAACCAACTTAGCCTACTTATACTAAGAGAAAACCACCCGGCGACGGATCGCCTTGACGGTACGCTACCTTAACAAATAATGCCGACCGTAATTACAAGCAGGTAGCCGGCGCGCTAACGCCTTGCCACCTACTCGCTATGCCGCCATAGAGAGAGAGAGAGAGAGAAAGAAAGAATAAAGCGAAGGGTCTCGACATTAGCTGTGCGGAAACGGGGAGGCTTGGCTGTGTTCTGCGTATGGTGTTGCTGGCCGTCGCTGGGTGACTCCTAGCCAACTCCTTCCGGGTAGCGTCCTTCGCAAAGATGTTGGAAAAGGCACTAGTCCTTTGTCCCTCTTGGCTTCTCGTCTCAGCACCTTGGCGTGTGTGTGTTCGGCTGACTTCTACCTCTGCACTTCTGCACTGCTGAGCGACTTAGTTCCGCTCGCTTACTTCAGCAATCGACAGCTTCCTCGTTTTCTTTCTTTTCTCCCCACTTGACCTACTTATTAGGCGGCGCGCGACCAATGCGCTAATTCGTTACGCGTCGTGCGCCTGCCTAAACCTGCGTGGGGCACGCACACCCCTCTCTCTATCTCTTTTTCTAATACTTCTCTCTGTCGTCCACTTAATGACTTCGGGTCGGCTCGACCTCGCTCGGCAATTTCCGTCAGCTGAAACAAAGACCATGCATTAGGCGCATTCTTAAATGCCCCCAAGGCTGGCCACCGTGCTTTGCCGAGAGAGGGAGAAATGGGGAAAAATACCGACGAGAATAAGCGCAACGCTTGCTCTCGTCACAACTCTTTAAATGCCTCTTAAGTATCCACTACTATACTCTCTCTTTTTCTCTGATTCATTTTCCGTTTTGTACGTGCACGCGCGTGTATGAATAATACTTTTATTTTACTATTGTCTCTCTGTTTGTTTGAGCTACGCATCACTATCAACAGTAAATATCTATGAAGCAATGACCAACCTTCAAAACGTGAAGGATGATTCGCAAATACCACCACGGTCACCAAAGGTACAACAAGATAATAATGTATAAGTAATGCTTTGTGTTACTCATTTTCACAATTCTTTTCTTAATTGTGACGGGACCAGGCCGTGCACTGGCTTCTCGTCTACGTTTCTCCCTCCTTCTCCACTCGGCAAGGCGTGGTAGCTAACGTTGTGCACATTAAAGTATGCGTCTAACACTCGGCCTTTTTATTTCAGCGCCAAGGACGAGCTAGTGGAGCTGAGCGCAAGAAAAAGTTGAGGAGCGCGGAGAGAGTGAGAAAGAAAGAGACAGAGAGTGAGCATCAGGCCTATGCAGGGTTAGGCAGGCGCGCGAAACGTAACCGATAAGCTGCGCGTCGCGTGCCGCCTAACTAATAGGTCAGGAAGGGATGGGAGCGAGCACCACTGAACGGCCGCAAGACGGTAAGCGCGAGAAAAAATGCGTGCGCGAGTCCAGTCCAGTTTGAGCAGAGAGTGCAGTTTTGGATAGCTGGAAGGAAGGCCAACTCTACCGGGGATCGCTTTGTCTGCGACTACAGCCAGCCCCACCTGCAAGGAGAGCCAACATCGCCTGCAGATACTGGACCTGTGGCAACGACCAACGTCGCCTGCAGTTACATCGCCTGCAGATACCGGGCCTGCGGCAACGACCAACATCGCTTGAAGATACTTGGCCAGCAACAATAGTCAGCATCCTTAGCAATAATCTGACCAGCAGCGATGACCGGTACTTCCTGCAGCAGCACTTCGCTTGAGATTCTCGACGTTGTGAGGAACATTAAAAAAAGGTCAAGCCTTCTTTCTTACTCTCTACACTCTCTCTCCGGTGATGCGACGACCGGTGCGCATTGAGTAAGATAGCCAGGCATTCACGTGCCGACTATCTAGAGCTTCGCGCTTAGTTTTAATTTGTATTAGTGTTAGTTGCGACCGGCGAATTGTCAAGGCGCTAACGTGCCGGACAATTCATCTGGTACAGGTTTCTACGTAAAATTTAAGTAAATTTGTAATAGGATAAGTGTGCGATTAGTTATTAGTTAGGATAGACTGTGAAATATTTATTTGTGATTGTTCTAAGCTGCTCTTTTGTTCTATTCCTTAGTTAGTCAGTCAATAGTTTTATATTGTATCATACGCGCGTATGTTTAGTGTGAATATTTGTTGGTCATTAATAGCTGTAAACTTAATCTGGATTTGACACCGAGAAATTTATTTTATGACCTTCTCTCTCTTTTCTCCCTCAAATACCATGAGCGAAAGTGCCTCACTTACCCCGCAAAAAAAATTGGTGACAGCTAGAGAATTTTGTCACATAATAAGTAATAAAAGCTTGTTACTACATTTACATTTACATTTACATCTGGAGTCCATTAAAAAAACACACGTATAGTGGTGATAAGAATAGTCGCAGTGCCAGTGATTAACTTGATGATGCGATACAGGCTATCAAAATGTTAAATTAAAGAAGTAGTTTTGCATCGGAAGCATCTATTTTAATAACGCAGGTTGACATAAAAAAAAGTCGAGAAACTAGAACATACATAAATGCCTACATCGAAAATTTTGATCAACGAATTCAAAACAGAATGATCTTGTTATTTCCAACTCCATTAAAATATAATATTAGAACTAGATATTTCTATAACCTCAAAAACAGTCACAACAAACCCACGACTGGTAGGACTCTACTTAGAAAACCTAAATTTGAGATCATCTTATAATTTCAAAGGAAATAACATTAAACCTGCGACAGGCTAGGCTCTATTCTCAACTACAAAGTACGCTATAGCCCCATCACAGCATTAATTCTTCGACAAGTAGGGCTCTGCTCCTTAAGTCCCAAGTACGCTGTAACTTCATAACCTTAAGGACCATAGCATCAAACCCACAATAGATATATCACCACTACTTAATATTAAGAACGTTGGAACTCTATAACCTCAAAGAGAATAACATCAAACCACGACTGTTGGAGCTTTGGTGCTTAAATTCCAAGTACGCTGTACTTTCTGTCACTTCAAGGGTCATCCTAGGCATTCTGTCATCGCAAACTCGCTTTTAATACTTTTATAATGTTAACTAGCGATGTTAGATAAGAGCCATCATCTTCGCAGGCCCAGCCGTGGAAAATCATCATCAGCGACATATCTATGGTACGGGGTCGGGTTTTAGATGACACATGGGCTGACCTGCAACGAGTTACTTTTGTCCCCATCGGAATTCTTTCAAAACATATATAGCGGCTTCTAATATTATAGTAATTCTCATCTATAACCTTATTATAATAGACAACTGATTAGTTATAAATGAGATGCAAAAGAATTATGAGAATGAGCAAACAAGAAGAGATATCCCTAACAGAGAAATGCTAATGCAGTTCCATTTTGGAATTTACATGGCACTGAACGTTACCTTAATTGTTTACGATAATCTATTCCTAGACTGAAGAAAGACAGGTTTAGACGGTCAGTAGTTTTTTTAATCATTGGGCGGAAACTTGTTACTATATTATCTGAAAATGTCGACAAGTCTTATTATACGTATAGAAGACATGTTTTTAAATGTATTAGATAACTTTTTGCATGCTCAGCCATCATAGTCTATAATATAATAGATCTGATATTTTACTACGGAAAAAAATTATAGTAATAGTAATAATAATAATGAATCATTGGAATAATAAAAATTGGTCAAATCTAAAATAAAACGTTGTCAAACAAAATAATATGACTTGTCTCAATAATGTCGTAAGATGAAAACTGGCCACTATATGAAAATCAACAGCGTACGTGTTAATAAAAAATAACATAGAAAATAATACCTTTGCCAGATTGTAATGAATATTTTTTGGTGCTGTCTTCTATTGCTTTTTGTAGATATCTATCTTCTTCTAAATCATCAATATTAGAGCTTAAACGCGCACATTCAGGTAAATCACCTGTAACAGAACAGTTCTATTGTTATTTTTAATATTGACTAATAAAATATTTTTCTTATTTTAAAATATAATAAAAAATTGCATGAACTATTAGTATAATGTGTGATGATTCTCACAGATTTAGCTGAATCACACGTATCGTGAATTACTGTTTTCAATTGATCACTTAAGTGAGACTAAGTGATGTTGGTGGATTTTGTGAAATAAAATATATGATGATGTAAATTTTAAGTTATCTTTATTAGTCGTATTTAAATATATTTTCAATAACCCTATCATGAATAGCTTCTAGCTGGCATCTTGTTCAACTTACATAAATTAAAATCCGACGATTCAGACGTTTGATGTGGATCAAACATATGAGGAAATCCACGGAACCTTTGATTTTTGTGTTACTCAAGGATCTGCCGAGGAAAAAATTTTTTTTCTATGTCTATCAGACGTATAAACCTCCATTCTAGTGTATAGTTATCCAACTAAATCATTTTTGTAGGTTCAAAAATTATATAGACTTAACTAGAAGAATTCCAAATATAAAATCACTAATAAATCGCACATTTTTGAACGTTACTCTTGATTTTTTTTTTTCGTTTTCTTCCTATAACTGTTTAAGGGAGCTTCTAATCGGTCTGAAAATTTAACACAACCTTTTTTTTATAAAAAACTTCATTATCATTAAAGTTTCATTAGTGTGCCTATCAATCTCTTGCCATGGTATGCCCTCAAAGTAGCATTACTTGGTTTTGGGCCGAGGACTTTTTTTTTACATTTTCACTTACAACTTTTTGAGGGATGCTAAGGTTGTAATTTGGATTCGACAAGCTATTACTGTATTTAAAAACGAATAAAACTGCGTCTCCGAAATCGATGTGCGATCAATAATGACTAAGTTGTGAATCAAAATGTTTGAAAATATCTCGCGTAACTTTTTGGAAAATTCATGTTTTTTTGGAGACACAGCTCCAATTTCAAATTTAATTCACTCAAACATCTTGTAATCGCTAAAAATTCAATCAGGAAGTATACTATCAAAATCCTGTTTCCGTACGTATGTGCCACGTGTGTGTACGTTTGTATACAGTATCGTGATTTGTCATTCTCGAGAACAGTTGCAAGTGAGTGATCGTGTTTGGCACAACGCACAGTTAAACTATGGAAATAAGAAAATGGGTAAGTAGTTATATATTGCATAAATTATGGAATGTGCAATCAATTCGTTTTTTTTTTCATAGATAATTCTTGTATAATGCGAAAACAATTTTTACTTTTATTATTTTTTCTGTATTCGACAGACTGTGCTGACAAAACCAGAAAGGCCAAATTGCTTCTAAAAAGACAAAAAATAAGAGAGAAACGAAAGAAAAATTAAAAATCTCTACCAAACGTTGTCTGTTATGTTTATGTTGACGTTAGTTAATAAAATCAATTATTACAGTATTTTGAACGTTTTTTCCAGAAATTTTTTCATAATTTATAGCAATCGAATCAAAGAAAATCGATTCGTATGTTAAAAAAAATTTTTTTTTGATTTTCTGCTATAACTTTTTGAGGGATGGGTAAAAAGGAGTTATGCGGGTATATTCTACATTTGTAGGCTACAAGAAACACGTCTGTATAGGTTTTAGAAGTGTGCCTCTATAAAATTTTTTCGATTCTACTTTTTCGAAAAATCAACGGTTCCCTGGATTTCCTCATATGTATCATTCTCATTTTAATAAATTAATCTCTGTCTTAATTAAGAAAATATTAAAACGGTCTTGATATGAGAAAGAAGTAATTAGTTATAGAAATAAGATAATCTCCGTCATTCGCAACTTAAAGTCTATATTTTTCCTATCACATTATTATTAGCAGTTTAGACAACCGGTTTAACTGTGAATATCATTTCATACAATTCACAATATATACATATATATATGATTAGAATAGTCAGTAAGCCTGCTTCTTGTCAGCTTTTCTTCTTCTTCTCTATGCTCTCGAGAAGGTATATTGGCCAACGTTAGGTGCACAATAAGAATGCGCCTAAATATAGGCCTCGTTATTTCAGCGTCAATAATGATCGAGGAGCTAATTGAAGTAGCTTTAAGAGCTCCAGTAGTGGAAGCAAGCGAGGAAAAAATAGATAGATAGATATATAGATAGATAGAGAAAGCACAATACGCACTAGAGACAGATCGGAATAGGCATGTGGTGCGCAACCGATAAGCGTTGCGTTGCATCCTGCCGAAAAATTAGATCAAGTAGAGAAAAATGGAAGCACGAGTCGGTTACCACGAGTACGTCGCGGTTTATATGCATTATTTTTTATACCCTTACTAAGCTAGCTTCATCGAATAGTTTAGATTTAAAGTTCGTGCTACATCACACATCGTCCTAGTTACTTATTTCTTCGGCTAAGTACATCGAGCGTTATGAAAAAGAAGAAGAGACAAGCCAGGTAGATCGGTCAGTTCATCAAAATTCGGTGAATCACTAAATTTAATAAATTATCAAAGCACTCACTTATCGGAAAATTTGCTTCTTCACGATAGATTTAGTTTGTGGTTTTTTTATTGTAAATAATAGCATTATGTTCATTCATTCGGATTTAAGTTTTCTTTTATGTACGTTCTTTAGTAAATTAGATTGAGATTTTATAATTCAAACGGCATTTGTTAACCTGTTCTCTTTTCCTTCCTTCGATTAGTATCGATTTAAAGCGAAAGTGCCTCCCTCATCCCACTTTAAATAACTGAAGACAACATAGTGCATTCGTTACATACTCGTATATAAATTACGAGTACATAGTACAATTTAATTGATGTTTTCAAACAAAATAATTAAATTAAGTGATAGAAGTAATAAATAATATAATTATCTCTCTTTCTCTCTCTTTAGCCTCCTTTCGGGCTGGATTCAGAAAGATCCATAGTACACAGATGGTACTAATAAAATTAACAGACGACATACGAATAACCATTGATAAGACGAAGCTGACTTTATTATTACTTTTCAAATTTAGCGAAGCCTTCAATACCATCTCACCCTTCAAACTACTATGTAAAGTTTGCTTAATGAGTTTCTCCAGGTCAGTGTTCCTGTGGATCAAATTATACGAGGTGTGTTCAAAAAGTAACGAAAATTTTTAAATTTCGCAGGTTTGGAGAGTCCGCTTGTATAAAATTTTTTTTTATTATGTTGGTACACATGCCCCTGAAGTACGATAAAATTTTCAGCAATATTCATTGCTTACTTTTTAAGTGGCAGCCGCTAACATTAGACGTGTTTTTCGAGCTCGGCGATTTTCGTTTGTGAAAAAAAATGGATCAAAGAATTTGTATTAAATTTTGCGTAAAAAATGAAATAATGTGTAGTAAAGTTTGTCAAATGTTAACAAAGGCATATAGTGAGTCTGCTATGAGTAAAGCAAGGATTTATGAGTGTTATAAGCGTTTCCAAGATGGCCACGAAAACGTTGAAGATGACGAACGACCCGGACGCCCAAGCACATCAACAACCGATGAAAACGTGAAAAAAGTGAAAGAAATGGTTATGAACGATCGCCGAATCACAATCAGAGAAGTCGCTGATGATGTTGGCATATCAGTTGGCTCATGCCATCAAATTTTTTCGAATGTTTTGGGTATGAAACGTGTGCCAGCAAAATTCGTTCCAAAATTGTTGAATTTCGAACAAAAATAGCGGCGAATGGAAGTTGCTCAGGAGTCGCTAAATGAAGTCAATAACGATGCAGAACTACTAAAACGTGTTATAACAGGTGACGAAACATGGGTTTACGGATATGATGTCGAAACTAAGGCTCAATCGTCCCAGTGAAGGCATTCTGGATCGCCAAGACCGAAAAAGGCTCGACAAGTGCGGTCGAATGTGAAGGTTATGCTCACTGTGTTCTTCGATTTTAATGGCATAGTGCATTATGAATTCTTGCCACAAGGTCAAACAATCAACAAGCAGTACTACCTACAAGTTCAACGTCGTTTGCGTGAAGCAATCCGAAAAAAACGCCCGGATTTGTGACAAAACAATTCATGGCTTTTGCACCACGATAATGCGCCTGCTCACACTCCATTGCTTGTTCGTGAATTTTTGGCCAAAAACGAAACTGTAACGATGCCTCAGCCTCCATATTCGCCAGATATGGCTCCATGTGACTTTTTTCTATTTCCAAAAATAAAGAGAACATTAAAAGGCCGTCGTTTTACAAGCATAGATGACATTAAAAGCGAATCGCTGAAAGAGCTAAAAGCTATTACAAAGATCGAGTTTCAAAAGTGTTTCGAGGATTGGAAAAAGCGTTGGCATAAGTGTATTGTATCCGAAGGGGACTACTTTGAAGGCGACAACATTAATGTAGATGAATAAATAAATATTTTTTTCATAAAACGAAAATTCTCGTTATTTTTTGAACACACCTCGTATCTACAAAGTCGTAGCCAGAGTTTTCTCTGCTACAGATTCTTTCAAATAGGTGAAAACTAATTTGACAACTTGCCGATCTACCTATACATTACTCGGTATGATCTGCTTGAAAATATAAATAGGCTGTTCAGGATTATTTAAATGGTCTCAAAGTGGCTCAAAAGCTCTAATCTGCTCCTCAATAATGGTAAGACTAAGGCATTAATTTGTAGTTTAAATAAATTCATCGATATCATTAAGAAGATGAATCTGCTAGGAGTCGAGTTGCAAAATAGAGTATATATAGGTTTTAGTAATGAGGTTGTCAGTCTTAGTGTTACGCAGAATAGCAAGCTCAAATGGAGGCAGCATATTGATCAAGTTACGAATAAGATCAATAGGATTCTATACAACTTGCACTTAATCAAGTCATGAAACACGCAACAGCTTCAAAAAGATTGATAAAGTCCCTGGTACAGTCTCATCTTGACGACATCTTTATTTACAATATTCAAATGATCTTAACTATCTTAGTTTTCAAATAAGTTTAACCATTTTACCTAATACTACTCCATAAAATTTCAGCAATGCTTCAATTTTTT